ACATCCCAGCAATTCCAGGAACAGCTGTTAAAAATTGACCACTGTCTGGAAAATCTTCCAGCTCCTGCACCCAACATCTTGCTCCTGGGGGATTTCAACTTAAGGCACCTAAAATGGAGGAATATAGCAAATAATATTGTTGCAGTAATAACAACAGGAGGCAGCTCTGATGAAAACTCACACTCACACGAGCTTTTAAATCTCTGCACAAAATTCAATTTAAACCAGCAAATAATAGAGCCTACTGACTGGGAAATACACTAGACCTCATCTTCACTAACAATGATGATCTGATAAGAAATGTCACCATATCAAAAACAATATACTCAGATCACAACATAATTGAGGTTCAGACATGTATGCGTGGAGCCCCAGACCGACAAAATGAGACTAGTCACGATGGAGCATTCACCAAATTCAACTTCAATAACAAAAACATAAAGTGGGACCAAGTAAACCAAGTCCTAACCGATATAAGCTGGGAAGATACACTAAGCAACACAGACCCCAACTTATGCCTAGAACAGATTAACTCGGTGGCACTCGATGTATGCACAAGGCTTATTCTCTAAGAAAAAGGAGGAGTAGATGTAAAATAGAAAGAGACAGGCGCTCCCTTTACAGGCGACGGAAAAGAATAACAGAGCGGCTAAAAAAGGTCAATATATCTGAAATGCGTAGGGAGACACTGGTCAGAGAAATAGCAAGCATCGAACTTAAGCTAAAAGAATCCTTTAGGAGTCAGGAATCGCGGGAAGAACTAAAAGCCATAAATGAAATCGAAAGAAACCCAAAGTATTTCTTCTCCTATGCCAAATCAAAAGCGAGAACAACGTCCAGTATTGGGCCCCTACTTAAACAAGATGGGTCCTACACAGATGACAGCAAGGAAATGAGTGAGCTACTCAAGTCCCAATATGACTCAGTTTTTAGCAAGCCGCTAACCAGACTGAGAGTCGAAGATCAAAATGAATTTTTTATGAGAGAGCCACAAAATTTGGTTAACACAAGCCTATCCGATGTTATCCTGACGCCAAATGACTTCGAACAGGCGATAAATGACATGCCCATGCACTCTGCCCCAGGGCCAGACTCATGGAACTCTGTGTTCATCAAGAACTGCAAGAAGCCCTATCACGAGCCTTTTCCATCCTATGGCGAGGGAGCATGGACACGGGGGTCGTCCCTCAGTTACTAAAAACAACAGACATAGCCCCACTCCACAAAGGGGGCAGTAAAGCAACAGCAAAGAACTACAGACCAATAGCACTAACATCCCATATCATAAAAATCTTGAAAGGGTCCTAAGAAGCAAGATCACACCCATCTAGAAACCCATCAGTTACACAACCCAGGGCAACATGGGTTTAGAACAGGTCGCTCCTGTCTGTCTCAACTATTGGATCACTACGACAAGGTCCTAAATGCACTAGAAGACAAAAAGAATGCAGATGTAATATATACAGACTTTGCAAAAGCCTTCGACAAGTGTGACCATGGCGTAATAGCGCACAAAATGCGTGCTGAAGGAATAACAGGAAAAGTCGGTCGATGGATCTATAATTTCCTCACTAACAGAACACAGAGAGTAGTCGTCAACAGAGTAAAGTCCGAGGCAGCTACGGTGAAAAGATCTGTTCCACAAGGCACAGTACTAGCTCCCATCTTGTTCCTCATCCTCATATCCGACATAGACAAGGATGTCAGCCACAGCACCGTGTCTTCCTTTGCAGATGACACCCGAACCTGCATGACAGTGTCTTCCATTGCAGACACTGCAAGGCTCCAGGCGGACATCAACCAAATCTTTCAGTGGGCTGCAGAAAACAATATGAAGTTCAACGATGAGAAATTTCAATTACTCAGATATGGTAAACATGAGGAAATTAAATCTTCATCAGAGTACAAAACAAATTCTGGCCACAAAATAGAGCGAAACACCAACGTCAAAGACCTGGGAGTGATCATGTCGGAGGATCTCACCTTCAAGGACCATAACATGTATCAATCGCATCTGCTAGAAAAATGACAGGATGGATAATGAGAACCTTCAAAACTAGGGAGGCCAAGCCCATGATGACACTCTTCAGGTCACTTGTTCTATCTAGGCTGGAATATTGCAGCACTCTAACAGCCCCTTTAAAGGCAGGGGGAAATTGCCGACCAAAGAAAATGTACAGAAAAACTTTCACGGCGCGCATAACGGAGATAAAAACCCTAAATTACTGGGAGCGCTTGAGGTTTCTAAACCTGTTTTCCCTGGAACGCAGGGGGAGTGATACTGATTATATACACCTGGAAAATTTTCCTAGAGGGACTAGTTACCGAACTTGCACACGAAAATCACTCACTACGAAAGCAAGACTTGGCAGACGATGCACCATCCCCCAATGAAAAGCAGGGCGGTGTCACTAGCACGTTAAGAGACCATACAATAAGTGTCAGGGGCCCGAGACTGTTTCAACTGCCTCCCAGCACACATAAGGGGGATTACCAACAGACCCCTGGCAGTCCTCAAGCTGGCACTGGACAAGCACCTAAAGTCAGTTCCTGATCAGCCGGGCTGGGGCTCGTTACGTTGGTTTTGCGTGCAGCCGCAGCAACAGCCTGGTTGATCAGGGGTGTTTCCACCAGGAGGCCGGGTCACAGACCGGGCCGAGGGGCGTTGACCCCCGAAACTCTCTCCAGGTAAACTCCAGGTATAATCATCATCATAATAATAATAATAATAATAATAATAATAATAAATTACTATTTTTATTATTATGGGGTAAAGACACCAAAACTAACCATTATAGTCGTGCTAAATCGTCTATAATTATTATTGTGGTTCATGTTAAGATGTTATAGCGATGCTACCTGTGTGTCTCAGACCATGATCCACCACGAGGCTGGTCACAGACCGGGCCGCGTGGGCGCTGACCCCCGCGGCCCTCTCAAGGTATACACGTTATGAGAGAGAGGGAAAGAGAGAGAGAAAGAGGGAGGGAGAGAGAGAGAGAGAGAGAGAGAGAGAGAGAGGGGAGAGAGAGAGAGAGAGAGAGAGTACCTTCCATGGAGTTAGGAACATTACCAGAGACCCGAGTTATAATGTACTAGCAGTCCAAGACCAATTAATTGTTACTATAATTCAGACAAACTTGGAACAAGAGATTTAGGTAAATGAAGGTGAATTACCAGCAGAATCTACGAATATGAGGTATGAGAGATGGTTGGTTAATGGGGTTTAAAGTCTATCTACCACACGAGGGTCATTAAGACTGGATGGTTGGTTAATGGGGTTTAAAGTCTATCTACCACACGAGGGTCATTAAGACTGGTTGGTTGGTTAATGGGGTTTAAAGTCTATCTACTACACGAGGGTCATTAAGGCTGCAGGTCACCTGGTCACAACCAGTCAACAATACTTTAATACCTAAAATACTGATTAATGTAAACTACCAGTGTATATACACTGATATATACATATCTCAGTGTATATACACTGAGATATACACCTCACAGTGTATATATACTGAGATATACACCTCACAGTGTATATACACTGAGATATACACCTCACAGTGTATATATACTGAGATATACACCTCACACTGTATATACACTGAGATATGCACCTCACACTGTATATACTGAGATATACACCTCACACTGTATATACACTGAGATATACACCTCACACTGTATATACACTGAGATATGCACCTCACACTGTATATACACTGAGATATACACCTCACACTGTATATACTGAGATATACACCTCACACTGTATATACACTGAGATATACACCTCACACTGTATATACACTGAGATATGCACCTCACACTGTATATACTGAGATATACACCTCACACTGTATATACACTGAGATATACACCTCACACTGTATATACTGAGATATACACCTCACACTGTATATACACTGAGATATGCACCTCACACTGAAATATACTGAGATATACACCTCCACACTGTATATACACTGAGATATACACCTCACACTGTAATACTGAGATATACACCTCACACTGTATATACTGAGATATACACCTCACACTGTATATACTGAGATTACACCTCACACTGTATATACTGAGATATACACCTCACACTGTATATACTGAGATATGCACCTCACACTGTATATACTGAGATATGCACCTCACACTGTATATACTGAGATATACACCTCACACTGTATATACTGAGATATACACCTCACACTGTATATACTGAGATATACACCTCACACTGTATATACTGAGATATACACCTCACACTGTATATACTGAGATATACACCTCACACTGTATATACACTGAGATATGCACCTCACACTGTATATACTGAGATATACACCTCACACTGTATATACTGAGATATACACCTCACACTGTATATACACTGAGATATACACCTCACACTGTATATACACTGAGATATACACCTCACACTGTATATACACTGAGATATACACCTCACAGTGTATATACACTGAGATATACACCTCACAGTGTATATACACTGAGATATACACCTCACAGTGTATATACACTGAGATATACACCTCACAGTGTATATACACTGAGATATACACCTCACAGTGTATATACACTGAGATATACACCTCACACTGTATATACACTGAGATATACACCTCACACTGTATATACACTGAGATATACACCTCACACTGTATATACACTGAGATATACACCTCACACTGTATATACACTGAGATATACACTGAGATATACACCTCACAGTGTATATACACTGAGATATACACCTCACACTGTATATACACTGAGATATACACTGAGATATACACCTCACACTGTATATATACTGAGATATACACCTCACACTGTATATTCATCAAAGTATATCTGCAGACTCTATAACAATCTTAAGTTACCACTCTAAATTATTATTAGTATCATTATTACCAGTGCTATTATTATTGCTATTATTACTGTTATTATTACTGCTGTTATTACTATTATTGTTATTGAGGAAAAGCTAAATTTGTTTATTATACATGGAGGCTAAGTTATCAGGTCTGCCCCAGAAAGGTCACATCTCGCTCCACTTCCTGGGATCAAGAGTCCCTGAGGAACCATCAGGTGGGTGGACTAAGGACGTAAGTACAGCACATAGGAACAGCCTGGCTCAGTGTCCCTGTGACTGCCGGACAGGGAAGGTGTGCCGCTCCCGCTCTCATTTTTTTTTCTTTCTGAAGATATTCTTAACTCATGGACTTAAAACCATCTTTTATATTAAAAAACAAAAGGCTGCGGGTTTTTTTTTTTTAGAAGACTTGGAGATAAATGTTTAGGCTAGTACTGGTTTTTTGTCAAAACTCGCGTTTTTTGGCTTCCAATTGTTGAGTTGAAAATATTATTATTATTAAAGTGATTTATTGACCCTCGTGACCAGTGAAGTTATCTTGATGCTATCTTAGTATCTTGATGCTATCTTAGGTAAGTATATTGATGCTATCTTAGTATCTTGATGCTATCTTAGTATCTTGATGCTATCTTAGTATCTTGATGCTATCTTAGGTATCTTGATGCTATCTTAGGTATCTTGATGCTATCTTAGGTATCTTGATGCCATCTTAGGTATCTTGATGCTATCTTAGGTATCTTGATGCTTAGTATCTTGATGCTATCTTAGGTATCTTGATGCTGTCTTAGGCAAGTAACTTGATGCTTAGTATCTTGATGTTATCTTAGGTATCTTGATGCTATCTTAGGTAATTATCTTCATGCTTAGGTAAGTGTCTTGATGCTGTCTTAAGTATCTTGATGCTGTCTTAGTATCTTGATGCTACCTTAGGTATCTCGATGCTTTCTTAGGTATCTATGCTATCTTAGGAACCTTGATGCTATCTTAGATAAGTACCTTGATATTAACTATCTTAGGTAAGAACCTTGATGCTAACTATCTTAGGTAAGTACCTGATAACTCTCTTAGGTAAGTACCTTGATAACTATCTTAGGTAAGTACCTTGATAACTATCTTAGGTAAGTACCTTGATAAATATCTTAGGTAAGTACCTTGATAACTATCTTAGGTAAGTACCTTGATAAATATCTTAGGTAAGTACCTTGATAAATATCTTAGGTAAGTACCTTGATAACTATCTTAGGTAAGTACCTTGATAAATATCTTAGGTAAGTAACTTGATAAATATCTTAGGTAAGTAACTTGATAAATATCTTAGGTAAGTACCTTGATAACTATCTTAGGTAATTACCTTGATAAATATCTTAGGTAATTACCTTGATAAATATCTTAGGTAATTACCTTGATAAATATCTTAGGTAAGTACCTTGATAGCTATCTTAGGTAAGTACCTTGATAACTATCTTAGGTAAGTGCCTTGATAAATATCTTAGGTAAGTACCTTGATAAATATCTTAGGTAAGTACCTTGATAACTATCTTAGGTAAGTACCTTGATAAATATCTTAGGTAAGTACCTTGATAAATATCTTAGGTAAGTACCTTGATAACTATCTTAGGTAAGTACCTTGATAAATATCTTAGGTACCTTGATAACTATCTTAGGTAAGTACCTTGATAAATATCTTAGGTAAGTGCCTTGATAATTACTTTCGTAGGTACCTTGATAACTATCTTAGGTAAGTACCTTGATAAATATCTTAGGTAAGTACCTTGATAACTATCTTAGGTAAGTACCTTGATAAATATCTTAGGTAAGTGCCTTGATAACTATCTTAGGTAAGTACCTTGATAACTATCTTAGGTAAGTACCTTGATAAATATCTTAGGTAAGTAACTTGATAAATATCTTAGGTAAGTACCTTGATAAATATCTTAGGTAAGTGCCTTGATAACTATCTTAGGTAAGTACCTTGATAACTATCTTAGGTAAGTACCTTGATAAATATCTTAGGTAAGTGCCTTGATAACTATCTTAGGTAAGTACCTTGATAACTATCTTAGGTAAGTACCTTGATAAATACCTTGACGTTAAATATTTTAGGCAAGCATCTTGATGCTATCTTGGGTATCTTGATGTTAACTATTTTAGGTATCTTGATGTTAACTATCTTAGATAAGTATCTTGATGTTAACTATCATAAGTATCTTGATGGTAACTATCTTAGATAAGTATCTTGATGTTAACTAAGTATCTTGATGTTAACTATCATAAGTATGTTGATGTTAACTATCTTAAGTATCTTGATGTTAACTATCATAAGTATCTGGATATTAACTATCTTGGATAAGTTTCTTGATATCTAAGATATGTATCTTGATTATAGTCATCTTGGGTATCTTGATGCTATCTTAGAAAAATATCTAGATATTAATCTTAGGTACTTTAATATCTTAATTATCTATTCACTAAATACCATTTCTTAGTTGAGTATCCGGGCACTATCTTAAGTACTTACTCTAGTTATCTTAAATATTTAAGATAGCTATATAGATCCCCTCTAAGGCTGTAAGGTTTGCAGATGCTATCTAAGCACTATCTATCTCTATCTCTCTCTCTCTCTCTCTCTCTCTCTCTCTCTCTTCTCTCTCTCTCTCTCTCTCTCTCTCACTCACCTTCAAGTTATGGTGCCTTAAGGGAATAAGGACAAGGATCAAACCTGACTTCCTCCAGGCTCTATATGACCCTTACGGGTTTAGCGCTTTCCCGTAATAAAAATAATGTTACACAAACAGCTGTGGGACAAAACTAATGTCAGTGAAATATGAAATTCCCATTACTGAACATACACATGTTGATATATGTAAATGTTTGTGTTGGTGGCACCACTGGTGGTCCATTGGTGGCACTATTGGTGGCACCACTGGTGGTCCATTGGTGGCACCACTGGTGGTCCACTGGTGGTACTGTTGGTGGTCCACTGGTGGCACCACTGGTGGCATTATTGTGGTCCACTGGTGAGACACTGGTGGCACTATTGGTGGCACCACTGGTGGCACTGTTGGTGGTCCACTGGTGGCACACTGGTGGTACTATTGGTGGCACTACTGGTGGTACTGTTGGTGGTCCACTGGTGGCACCATTGGTGGTCCACGGTGGTACTGTTGGTGGTCCACTGGTGGAACTGTTGGTGGTCCACTGGTGGTACTGTTGGTGGTCCACTGGTGGTACTGTTGGTGGTCCACTGGTGGTACTGTTGGTGGTCCACTGGTGGTACTGTTAGTGGTCCACTGGTGGTACTGTTGGTGGTCCACTGGTGGTACTGTTGGTGGTCCACTGGCGGTACTGTTAGTCTATTGGTGACACTATTGGTGGTCCACTGGTGGTACTGTTGGTGGTCCACTGGTGGTACTGTTGGTGGTCCACTGGTGGAACTGTTGGTGGTCCACTGGTGGAACTGTTAGTGGCCCACTGGTGGAACTGTTGGTGGTCCACTGGTGGTACTGTTGGTGGTTCACTGGTGGCACTGTTGGTCCACTGGTGGCACTGTTGGTCCACTGGTGGCACTGTTGGTGGTGCACTGTTGGTGGTCCACTGGTGGCACTGTTGGTCCACTGGTGGTACTATTGGTGACCCACTGGTGGCACTATTGGTGGCACCACTGATAGCACTATTGGTGATCCACTGGTGGCAATATTGATGGTACCATTGATGGCACTAGTGGTGGTCCACTGGTGATACTATTAGTGGTCCACTGGTAGTACTATTGGTGGTCCACTGGTGGTACTATTGGTGGTCCACTGGTGGTACTATTGGTGGTCCACTGGTGGTACTATTGGTGGTCCACTGGTGGTACTATTGGTGGTCCACTGGTGGTACTATTGGTGGTCCACTGGTGGTACTATTGGTGGTCCACTGGTGGTACTATTGGTGGTCCACTGGTAGCACCCCTGGAGGCACCACTGGTGATCCACTAGTGGCACCACTGGTAGACCACTATTGGTACTACTGGTGATCCACTAATGGCACCACTGGTTTACCACTATTGGTACCACTGGAAGCACCACTGGTGACCATTGGAGGCACCACTGCTGACCCCGGCTCGTGGCCTCTGTGGCCACTTCATGCAAATACACCTATAGAAATTAACGATGCATTTATAAAAATGTATAAAGTATAAACTAGTCAGTAGCCAGCAATGTTATCAACCTTAATTGCATAATATATATATATATATATATATAATATATATATATATATATATATATATATATATATATATATATATATACAAATAATCGTGACCAAGCGATATAAGATGCAAAACAACTACGGGGGGAGTTGAATGATAGCTCTAGGTCTTTCGTATTGCAATCAACACATGATCAGGAGCTTACAATGTTAGAGAAGTCAGTAGGAAGTCCAGGCAGATTAGTTCCACTAAAGTAATCTGCTGATGAGGTTAAGGAAAAGTGAGTGTAGAATATTTACCCACCCCTGGATCGAACACGGGTTCATCAGTTGTGAGCCGAAGACACTAGCTTTGAGCCATGGGTATTCGCTTTTCAAAGAGCAGGTGTGTGTGTGTGTGTGTACTGGAGGGCTTGGCACCACTGTAAGGCCTTTGTTGTATACCTGGCAACAATGCAGCAGGTGTCACCTTTAACATGTTTTATTCATGTCGGGCGTTGAGAGGTCGTATTGATAGTGTCAATCAAACACTGGTGTCAAGACGAATAGTGGGAGAGAGAGAGAGAGAGAGAGAGAGAGAGGGGGGGGGGGTCTGCCTAAGAAGGATTAAGAAAACAAGGCAGAGAAACATTTACGCAGATAAATCATGAAGAAGAATTGCTGGAGAAAATTAAAAGTCTTGAAGATAATGGAAGGAAAACTTGGAAGATGTGCAAATCAGAGAAGATCTTTCAGTGCAGCATTATAAGTCTTGATAAACATTGTTAAAAGTGTCACACTAAACTTTAACACTAAACTTGTTACAACAGTATACATGGTACAACAGTAAAGTTGTAACAACAGTAATGTTGTAACAACAGTATACATGGTACAACAGTAAAGTTGTAACAACAGTATACCTGTTACAACAGTAAAGTTGTAACAACAGTATACATGGTACAACAGTAAAGTTGTAACAACAGTATACCTGTTACAACAGTAATGTAACAACAGTATACATGGTACAACAGTAAAGTTGTAACAACAGTATATATGGTACAACAGTAAAGTTGTAACAACAGTATACATGGTACAACAGTAAAGTTGTAACAACAGTATACATGGTACAACAGTAAAGTTGTAACAACAGTATACATGGTACAACAGTAAAGTTGTAACAACAGTATACATGGTACAACAGTAAAGTTGTAACAACAGTATACATGGTACAACAGTAAAGTTGTAACAACAGTATACCTGTTACAACAGTAATGTAACAACAGTATACATGGTACAACAGTAAAGTTGTAACAACAGTATACATGGTACAACAGTAAAGTTGTAACAGTATATATGGTACAACAGTAAAGTTGTAACAACAGTATACCTGTTACAACAGTAA